AGAAAGTGAGAAAGCAAGCCACTAGGTCCGGGACTCGAACTGTGGTCACCCATGCGGGTGACCCCAGCACCCCTAACCACCACTCCACCTGCTGGCCCCAGCCTCTCAACTTTTGATAGGGAGATTTCTTTCTTGACACTAAGACACAGGTGGGAGTGATGAGCAGCAGTCTCTGTCGGGGGGGAAGGGAGGGTTCGTGGTGAGCCTCCCCAGGGTTTTCAGCCCCAAGAGCGGACATGCCAGGAAGTGGGCCCAGGGCACTCCATCCTAACAGCCTTTGGTTTGGTTTTGTTTGTCTTAATTGCTAAAGGGCACACAGAGAGGGAAAGTGAGAAAGCACCCCCTATGGGATGGCCACGCCACAATTCCTTCTCCACTTCTTCCTCCTTTTGGGATTTTGGGCACACACGCACATGTGCCCAGCATGTCTCTCAAGCCTCTGGGTCTAGGATTCCAACCACACAGTTGGCCGCGTGGGATCCAGCCCCCTTAACCACCACAGCATTGGCTGGTCCACCTAGCAGTTTTTGAAAGAAGTCAAAAACCTGGGTTTTTATATTGCATTTTCAAATTTTTGCTTGGATTCCTTTAAAAACCCAGTGCTGAGGGGCCAGCAGATGGTGTAGTGGGTACATCTCTGAGCTCCCACATGGTCGAACATGGTTCATGTCCCAGACCCAGTGTCTTCAAAATCACACTGGGCACAGGTGTATGTGTGTGTGCGTGCCCAAGATCCCAGGAGGAGAATGGAGGAGATGGGACTGTGGTGTGGCCATCCCCCCGGGGGGTGATTTCTCATTTTCTCTCTCACTGTCTCTTTTCTCTCTCTCCTGCAAGTACACTATGAAAAAACAAAAACAAAAACAAAAACCAAAAAGCAACCCAGGGGACCAGCAGGTGGCTGGTTCAGGTGGTGGCACTCCCACGTGGCCAACCGTAGTTTGAGCCCGGTCCTGGTGGCTTACTTTCTCACTTTCTCTCTCTCTCTCTCTGTCTCTGATCAAATTAAAATAAATGAATGAATAAAAATAATTAAAAAGCAAACCTAATGCTGGCTGAAATGATTGTACCTGTCAGCTCTGTTTGGCCTGAGGGCCACCAGCTTAAGTCCTCTCCCTATTTCTCATCACATCCTCGGGAACAGGAAATTAACAAAGGGTTCCTATAAAGAGCCTGACAAAATACTTGGGGCTTTGTACACTAGACCATCTCAAAGCAGCCATAAACAATATGTCAACAAATGGTAAGGTTGTATACTAATAAAACTTTATTCGTGTGAGGCCAGCAGGTGGCTATTTAAGGCACTGAGCTCCCACATGGCTGACTGTGATTCAAGTCCCAAACCTGGCAGCTCGCTTTCTCACTTTCCCTCTCTCTCTCTCTTTCTCTCTGGTGAGTGCACATGTCCTATAGCTAATTTAAAAATTAATAATAATAATGAAAATTAAATAAATAATTCTTTCTTAAAAAGAATTATTCAGTATTATTCATTATCATCATTCTTTAATTTGATCGGAGAGAGAGAGAGAGAGGGAGATTGAGAAAACAAACTGCCAGGTTCAGGACTCGAACTGTAGTTGACCATGTGGGAGTCCAGCATCCCTACCACCACATCACCTGCCAGCCTCAAATAAATAATTCTTAAAAATATAAATCAATAAATAACTTTGGGGGCTGGCAGGTGGCTGGACTCCCACATAGCTGACCATGGTTTGAGTCCCAGACCTGGCAGCTTGATTTCTCACTTCCCTTCTTTCTCTCTGTCTCTCTCTGATCAACTTCAAAAACAATAATAATAATAAAATAATGACAATGAATTTTTTAAAAAAGACTGTTTATGAGCACCAAAATTTGAATCATACATAATTTTCATGTGTCAAATCTTTTGATTGTTTCCCCCCAATCATTTGAAAATATAAAAGCCAGTCATAGCTGGCGGGCTTTGAATGAGACAGCAGTAGGCCAGATTTGGCCTGAGGCTGTAGTTGGCAGCTTCTCACAGGAAGGTGCCCCACAGAAAGGTGCCTGAGCCCAGAGCGCCCCTTCTGCTTTCCTTGTCCTCTTGGGGAAACAGCACCTAGCTTCCAGCTGGCGGAGAGGCTCTCTGTCCTGTCAGGACAGCTGTGGCCTGGCCTGGCCCACCCTGGCGGTGGGACGAGTGTTCATCCTGGGATACTGGGAGGCTCTGTGGTGCCACTGCTTTGGCCCTGCCACCCACGCCTGCCCTCTGCTTGCAGAAATCCCTGGGAGATTACAACAACTTCGACCAGGAGTTCCTGAGCGAGAAGCCCCGCCTTTCCTTTAGCGACAAGAACCTCATCGACTCCATGGACCAGACAGCGTTCGCTGGCTTCTCCTTTGTGAACCCCAAGTTCGAGCACCTCCTGGAAAAGTGAGGTTCCAGACATGCCCTCGACCCGCCCCAGACAGAGCAGGCGGGGCCCTCCCCCACTGCATGTGCACCTGCCGCTCCCCGCAGCGAGCAGCAGTGTGACTACCATTACTGCTGCTGCCCCGCGCTCAGGGGGCCTGGGCTCCCAGCAGCTGGGCCTTCCGGTACTTCCTCTGTGAGCTGTGTGTGAACTTGCCTTCCTTCTGCCCTCAGAGGGAACTTGTAAATCCTGTGTTTCAGTACTTGAATGTAGTTATCTATTGAAAATATATATTATATATATATTCAGGTATATATATATATAAAATAGGCTGTATATATTGCTCAGGA